TTCCCTGGGCAGCCTGGTCCAATGTTTGATCACTCTTTCAATTAAGAAATCAAAACAAATTTCTGTGATAACCAGGTACGAAGAGCACAAAGGGGTAAAAATGCAACTTTTATGGTATGGTATACACTTTTTAAGTACAGACTTACTTAAGTCCTATGAAGCAGATAAAGCATTGGCAACTCCTTTTATTCCAAGAGAAGGAGACTATAAGTAGTTAAGAGGGGAGAACAGACTCCAATTAATGTCTGTGATATACTAAGCATAGAAAAATTTGTCTAATGCCTGACCTGTTTTTACTAAAACACTTAACGCCTAGGGAGATAGAATCCTGCTGCCAGTTTTCACTATCTCATCTCATCTACCTCACTCCCACTAGTTTGAATTTTGCATATAGGGAAAGGATGAGGTAAGTGGAAAAAAAATGTTAGTAAGGTCTAAAAGTAATTTCCTATTTCCAGGCTCATACTGTAAAAATAAAAATATCAAAGACCTCTTTTAACAGTTTGTTGGTAATGAGATCTAACCCAATTCAGATTGGCTCTATTCTTCAAAATAAATGCAGAAATGGAATTACAGCTGTGCTTCTACTGACTTGAGAAAGCTCTTACCCATTCCTGATTATATCATAGGTCAGAGTGTTAAAATCATGAGGATCAGGTGATGTCACACATGTGTCCAGAAACACTATCAGATTTGGGTCAGAGTTGTGAAGATAAGCTTGAAGGTACAAATTTTGGTTCAGGTCAATGTAGTATGGAGAGTCATGCACTTGCCACACGAACGATGAGGAATTATAAAAAGTGATGTTCATGTCATATCTTCCAAACTGATTTTCATTCACGTCTACAGTGTCCTTAGCAACATACATTATTTGCATCCATGTGTTGTGTAGCATTTTGCAACCGATATGTAAGTGAATACTCTTTTTCCTCTTGATTATGTGCTCAGAAGATGTAACTTTGATCACGTTGGAATAGTTGATTGTATCATCGTTCTCCTGTTTAAAATGTAATTTAAAACAAGGAATTGCATTTTTGCCACATTCCATGTTCTAAGCTTTGATAAGGTAATGTGCAATTTAAAAATGTAAATTCATCTTAAACTCTTTAAACCGAGAAGCTTGATGTTGGTCTTTTCTGCTCACATATTGTAAATAAACTTGCTGAAGTGTGTAATTAAACAGAAACCAGTGGAGAAAAATTCTTTGTTAAATCCATGGCAGAGCCAGCTCATTGAACATCTGTACAAAACACCAGTTGTGTAGTACACAGTCATCCCAACCTGCACGGCACTTACAACACTACATCTACTTTAAATCATTTAAAGTTCATACAACTTCTTCCCATTTCTATTAAGCATGGGGATTCCCTAAGGCATGGAAAGGTAAAGCACTAAAAAACCTCGGGGTCTCATTGATTCGCTTCTTAGCACTATGGACCACAATGGCCCTTTCATGACTCTTTTCAAAGCGGGTCCTGCAACTCAGTGTGCACAACGGTGAGTGTACCTCTCGTGTTGTCCCACAGCCGTTGTAGGGAATGTTGAATATAACCTCATCTGACGTGACTGTCGGTCTACAGTGATTGTCTTTCAGGGTGACCATCTCTGCAGAGTAGCCTTGAGACTGGAGGTAGTCTCTGCTAACCACTGCATGCATGTAGTCTGGCAAGCACAGAAGGGCTGGTAGAAGAAGATACAGTATATTAGTGACTCCAGGAATTTGTTAATGATTAAAGGTTGTACTTGAACCAAATGTTTTTTTCTTAGTTTAGAAGATAGCCACTTCACACACCAACCGGTCATATTTCGCATGCATAGTTTCATTTCCTTAATGTCTTTAAATACACACAAATATTTATTTTGCAAACAAAAATAATAAACAAGATAGTCCCTTGGGAAACACTGATCAGGAACTCACTAGTGTTGTGACCATCTGGAATGGAGGAGTAGTGAGACTGAAACCCTCTGAAGGCGTATCTAGAATCGCTGTGAAAGCGAACGGTCATCATGTTCGAAGAGGATATGTACGTGAGAAAAGAACCAGAACAAAGTCTCCCAAGAAGCGGGGAAGAGTGTGGAGGCCCGTCATAGACTTCAACGTAGTCATACTGGCATCTCCCGCCTTGCATCCTGGTGAACAGACATCAACACTTTGTCAAATGCGTTTCAGAAACTCTGATTTAACTGCCTAACACATGATAAAATTCCTTCAGCGCTTAAAGTTTTCACAGCAGAGGTTTTATTTATTTTGTGTGTATGTTATGTTATGGGAAATATATTTAAAATTGGGAAGGTTGCCTGCTTCAAATAAATTTTCAAACTTCTCAAATAAGTTTTGACTTTGTTATTTAGCCAGAGAATCAATGTTTTACTTACTCAATATCTCTAAATGTGAGAATAACACGGAAATTATTCTCAACTTGTATTTCCCACATGCAGTCAGCGTTGTTTGGATAACTTTCAGGGTAGGAGGGACTCTGCAGCATCCCAGATGAATTTGAGATTGAGCCACCACAAGAATAAGGCGCTGCAGAAATAGAAGAGAATTTACTTAACAGCAACCTCTGAAAATTGTACTTGAGCTGTGTGTGCCTTATCTGCAACTGCCGAAAAGCTGGTCTCCTGCTCACTGCTGGTATTATTCTGTATGACCCAAGTCAAAACAAATATTTGTTTTTGCTTTAGGGTTACTTTCATGTTGGATTTGGGACTCCTTGTCACATCCATGGTGTCAGACCACCCTCTTCAGGCTGGGCTTGTAACACCTTGACACTTTCTGCTCTGGTCTCTCTTTTCTGCAGTTGAGGTCTGACTCTGGGAGGTGTCATGATAGTCAAAATGGAAGTAACTTCCTGAACAGACAGCATCCCCTCGGTTACGCTGGTGCTTCCTTTTATTTCCTTAAGGACTTTGAAGGATAAAGAAGTTGCAAGACTGTTAGGAAACTCTGTCATTTTATGGTCTCAGACTGAAATAAACCCTCCAGGCTGTTGGGCCAAGTCTTAAATAGATCTCATTTCTCCTATAAATGTAGCTGCAAAAAGCTTTCGTTTTCCTGCCAGCATGAATGACAAATAATTCTTATGTTAAACACACAGATAATCATGGAAGTTTCCTTATAGGAAGGTGAGCACAAGATCTGAACTTAATTCCTGCGATATGTGACACATAATGGCAACAATCCCCATTTTGTATTCCTGCACAGGGACACCCCAAGTGCAGCACACTCCTCCCTGCCTCAGGATTTTGGGATTCTTGGGCTATTGCAAGGTTAGGAGCATAAGCTGTACCCAGACATTGTCCCTTCCCCTTGTTAGGCTGGACAGGCACTCAGGCACCTTCACTTTCGTACTATTTTCTGCTGTGAATGGTCAAGGTTGAAATCTAAAATGCTTCCTAAGGCAAAAACAGCAGGCTGCAGACCATTCCCGCTCTAGTAAGCAGAAGAGGCAAAAAGGACACGTTGAAATACTTGCAAACACCCCTGCCAATACATATACGGTTAGAAGTTAGAGATTTAGACAACACTTCCTAAGCCTTGACCCAGCTGAAGAGCCCAGTGAGGAAATGGCTTGCCCACAGCCAGCCACCATAACTGCAAAATAATCATCACTGAAATGCAAGGACATATCAAAGCCTGTCTAAGAATCATCAGGCAAGTTTAAACTGATATTGCCATAGAAGAAAAAAACCAATTTCGAAAAGACCCAACAGAGAGACAGCCCCCCAAAAAGCCACTGCTTAATCAGGTTGGGTCTTTTCCTGGATCTGGTGGCACCGCCAGAAGAAGTGGCCAGAAAAACCATGAAAA